TGGGACCAGGAAAGGCACAGCCGTCCTCACAGCAGAGGTGGAGGGAAGCATCACTCTTTCCCAGATGAAGCCCCCAAAGGCAAAGCCACACATCCACAATGGCCCAGCAGTCACTGCCCACCCTTGCATCTGTGAGGAAATATCTTCTACTCCTTGATTTGAAGAGACCAGACTGTCATTCCCCCCAAATGTTGAGTGACTACTCTACATCCTGCAACTCCCAACTTGTCCCACTCCTGAGGGGACAGAGAACTTCGTCTCAAGATGTCACAAAGCAAGAACCTGGGCAGGGCCCTTTAGCTCCAGGCTTCAGGTAGGCTGATTCTAGCTAAATTACAGAGAGAAACCCTAGTGGTTATAGCATTCAAGGAGGGAAAGCAGTGGAGGTACTTGTCCCAGGCTCTTAGCTCCAGAAAGGACCTGTGGCTAAGAGGAGAGATGGAAACCACAGAACTGTGGCAGGCAGGGGGCAGGCCTCTCCCAAGTATACTGCCATCGTGCCCCACTCACGAGTCATTGTCTGATTCTCATGATTAATCCTCTCAACCTGTGGAGTATTACTTCCTGCATTCTACAGATTAGGAAACTAAAGAGATCAAATAACTTGCCCCCAAAACATGTAGCTAAACATTGGCAAAGGAACATCAAATCCTGGGCCTGATTCGCAGCTCCTTCCACTCTGTGGGGCTTTTCTCACTTCCCAGGTGGCTCTCAGAAATTGCTCAGCTCTGCAGATTCCCCCTGCATGAAATGCATACCCTGAGCCTGTCCCCAGTGAGTCACCAAGGCAGGGCCTCAAAGTACTCTGAGATCTCCTTAGAGGAAGAGCTGAGTCCAGAATGGCCAGTTCTGAACCACCTGTGAATGTACCAAGTGGCCTCATGGACTGTGTGTGGCTAGTTTCTTCTTGTGTCACACTGAGGAGATTGGAAGAAAGTGACTCGGGGAGGTCCCCTGAAATAGTGATGTGCTAATAAGGAGTGAGTTGGCTTTCTGGGGGAGGGATGGAGAGAGCAGAGGGAGGCCCCCCTGATAGGTACCATTTGCTAATTTTCTTGCTCCTCCCATGGTCTATGGAAGTTGTTCATGCGATGAAAACCTGCTTACAAAGTTTCACAGACCATGACAAGGCAGCTCCAACACACACTGGATGGACATATCCTGTCCTGGTCCACCCAGGTCTTCCCCACTCTTCTCTAAAAGCTGTGCTGCCCCCGAAACTTACCTCACGTTACCTCCATCCCCCTGCAGCAGCACCCCACCCCCATGGACAGCTGCAGGTCCTTTCAGCTCCAGTTCTTGGGAAATGGAGGTCTTTGGCTAGAAAAAGAAATCTATTTGGAGATAAACATTCATCCTCAAATCTGGAAGAAATGCAGAGTTTGCTGAATTGGCCCCCATGAGCTACATAAATCTGAGTCATCATCCCTCTCAGTCCAGCTCTGCTCTCTTCTTCCTGCCTCCCCCAAGTAACAGCCTCTGGCTGGGGTCCCTTGGGATGCATGCAAGTGACCACTTTGATTTATATTTTTATTCCCTCGCATTCCTCTTCAGCCCAACAGGGTCTTCTCCCATCTGTCCCCAATGTCCTCCCTAGGAGGGGCAAGGTAAAGAGACAAAGGAGTAACTCCACCTCCCTCTTTATTTTAGAGGCTCGTCTGAATGGAAGCCCTTCACAATTCCTGCAAGGACAGGAAAAAATGCATCTAGTGGGCATAGCAGAGCATACCAGTCTCTGACATTTCACCCTCAAATGAGCTGTGGGGACACAGCTATGCCTTGCTATATGGCAGGAGCACATTCTGGAAATCTGATGTTTCGTAATAACAACCACCCCTCCATCTGAGAAGCACTTTAGAGTTTCCAAAGCCCTTTTACCTACGTCACCAAATGAGAGCTTCCTGCCAAGCTGGTGCTATGATTAGTGATTGTTAAGCACCCTCTTTGAGTCCCAGCCTGTCAGTAGTGGAGAGAACTACAGATGTGACCTAACCTGGTCACCCAGCTAACGTTGCCATCTTCTCCTGGGAGCAGAACATTCCAGCCAGGGAGAGTGTGGGGCTTGGCAAGGTGTTATTTGGGCTGTCCTCTTGTTATCACTTTAGTGCACTGCTTGGAGCTTGGCCCTTTGGGACACAGAGAACAGAAGTGAGACCATCTAATCCCCTCATTTGGATATTCAGCAGGGGCTTTCATGTCTCCCTATTTCTCCCTGCTTCTCAATCTTGCTTATACTTCTAGGGTCCTTCAAATATTCCTCATGTGATTTGCTACAGAATCCCTTCACCATCCTGGTCAACTCTTCTTTGAGTATGCCTTCGTGCTCTTGTTTACTCAGAGTAGGACAAGACCAGAAGCTTCCTCATCCTATGAGCCATGCTTGTGTTTAATTGAGCATTAATTCATGTCTGCCCCACACCTTGTGTTTTGTTTTGGTTTTGGACAGACAACTACGCTTTAGATATATTGAGCTAGCTGTCAACTAAAACATTGCTGCTAAGCCAAGTCTCCCTTGTTCTTCGCTTAACATTATTGATTGTTTTTTGTTGTTTTTTTTTTTTTTTTTGGCCAAATGTTAGAAGTGTTCAATTTTAACTTATCAGATGAAAATTAATTTTATTAGGTTTAGCATACTGCCAAAATCTGTAAAGATCTTTTGGATCCCAGTTGCGTGCCATCCATAAATTTGTTGAACATTTCTTTAGCTATCCTCTGAGTCACTGGTAGAAAAAAATGTTAAAGAGGACTAGGGACCTGCATGCAGCACTAGTCTAGCCTAGAAACCTCCCGCAAGCTGACATCTATCCTCTAACTGTCATCCCTCTGGCGTCGTTTACTAATCCACACAGTGCCCAGTGGGCCACATTTCTCTATGTTTTCCACAAGGGTATCACAGGAGATAATCTTTCCAAGGTCAGTTTCACCATATTTTCCTGATCTGTCTGGGAAGAAACACGCCAAAGCCACAAATTGACCTCCTCAAGAGCAGGTGCCCACCTTTGTGATTACATTTCCTCATGCAGTGCCTGGTACAGAGCAGGCCTTGCAAAGCATCTGAGGAACAGGCCCTTTGCAGCCATGAGTGAATAAAAGAACAAATCAGTCTGGTACAGATCAGGGTGAAGATGGCCAACATTTCAGTTTTCCGAATCCACCTTCTTTCTCTATTTTGATTTTTTTTTTTTTTTATACAGAGTTCCCCTGTGTGGCCTGGGATGTGTTCAAACTTGCAACCCCCTGCCTCAGCCTTCTGAGTGCTGGGATTACAGGCATGTTCTACTCTTCTTTCTTATAGCACCTTTTTAGTACTCACTCATGAACCCTAAAAAGCCCCCCAGTTTGTTTCCTGATTTTAAAAAATAGGAACTTAGGAAAGTTAAGGGATTCTCCCAAATTTAAAGGCAAAGAAAAAGAAGAAAAAAAAGGAAACAGTAGGATTTCGGCCGCAGTCTGGTGGATTCAGGGCACCATGGCATTCTGCCATGCCTCTTACACACTGGGTTTGGGAGCACTCCCCAGCTCAGTGACAAGGAAGAATCCTAACAAAAGTGATATGCTATAGTAAAGCCAAACATTTCTTTTTTGCTCTCAACCTCATTCATCGGCCATCATTCATTCATTCATTGATTCTTTGGTTGAACAAATATTTATCTAACACCTAAAACCTACTAATGCCAGATTATCCTGATCCCTAGGTATATAACTGTTAGGAATGTAACTACTATAAGACTACCTTGAGCTTAAGTTTTAGTTAGAAGTGGGGGGAAAAATAGGCAAATGGACATATGTGGTTGTGGTGAGGGCACTGCAGAAGTATAAAGCTAGAGGCAGAGGGGACAGATTTTACTCTGAAGGCAAGGCATCTGAGCAGACATAAATGAGAACAAGACAGGCATGTCTTGGGGATATACACAACAGTGTGCTTGTACTCACAGAAATACAATTTTTTTAAAATCCAGAAAGCAGGGACCTGGATCCAATGATGAACATCCCAGCTGTAAAATATCTGATTCCTTCAAGGCATATTCATTCATTTATTTATTCACTCCTTTTCTCCACAAACACATTTATTCAGCATCTATCATTTTTATTAAAGCATGCACAGCTGGGTGCTGGGGATAAAGGAGTGAACAAGGCCTTCGAGCAGGAGATAGACAACTACACAGTGTGATAACAGCTATCATGGTGCTAGGGACAGGCTGATGTAAGAGAACAGCTGAGGAATGACACCATTCACCCTTCTAGAGATCTATGTGACTGGAGGAAATGTAAAAGCATTGAATTCCATAATGATGGTTTTCAAAAATTTTAAAGCTACTGAACCATTTCTTTAAACAAAACCTTAGACACAAAGTCCAATATATAATATTAAAAAGAGTTGCTCTGGTTGATACAAAATTGAAAGCCTCGGGACACCTTCAAGAACCTATAATATAGTATGAAAACCACTTCTCTAAATATTTGTTCTGGCCAAGAAGAGAAATTTTCCCATTGTCCATTAAAATTGTAGCATCAAATGACCAGGTGAGCCAAATTTGGAGAGGCATTCATTCGTCAATTAAAACCATTAGAAGTGTTAGCTTGTGGCTTGCATAAAGGAATAAATAAACCTCTGCCCAAATGAGAACCAACTCAGCTACTTTTGTTCCTGCTCTCCAGAGTCATCAAATCGAGCTAACTAACATCCGAAAGACTTGTAAACATACTTAAATGGTTGAGTGTATTTTGTCTCACCTGGGCATAGGGTCACTACATTAGGAATCATCCCTGGAGGTGTTCTGGACACCACCTGGAATAGGGTGGCTCTAAATTGTTTTCTAAAACATTCTTTGAAGAAAGGCTTGCTTTTCTTTCCATTATAGCTAACGTACAAATGGATGCTGGTTGTATACTTACAAGTCTCTGTTCACATCCTCTTTTCCAGGCATACCACAGGCCTCACCCTCTAGCTTGGGAGCCCACCAAGCTAAGCTGCCATCTCCCCTTTCTTCTCTCTGCAGATGACGGCAACTGCCCAGCCACCCTCCAAGGCTCAGGCTGTCCACATCCCTGCACCATCAGCTACTGCCAGCACACCTGTGCCCAGTGCCCCCATTGACCCCCAGGCCCAGCTGGAAGCCGACAAGAGAGCTGTATACAGGTAGGAGAACTTCTGTCCCTATACAGAAGTCCCAGGGAGTCTTGGGCCCAGCTCAGCCGTGAGAAATGTACAAGGCAGAGCGGGTGGGTGTGTCAGCAACGTGGTCAACAGCTGTTCTCCTTAGCCTCGCTCTCAAGTCAACCCAGAATCCCCCAGCTGCCTACTGTGAGATGACTTGAGCTTCTTGGAAGTGACTAGTGAGGGATATGAAGGCCTGGGCGGCATCTCCCATGAGGATCTCCTCCCATCTCAGATAGGGAGACAAGCCCTAATGAGTATCAGAACCCTCAGTTCAGCCAAAGGCAGCTGCTTTGGGATCCTGTCCTTGTCCTGCCTCCCATTGCTGCCTTCGCTCCGACAAACCCACTGGAATATCAGGTATCTAATCGCCCTATCTGGAACTTGTTAGTACACAAACTTCATGTGCACGCACACCATGGGGGGGGGGCTTGTTAAAACTCATAGTCCCAGGCTCCAAGGTCAGAGATGCTAATTTAGTAGGTCAAAGCTACAAGAGCGGTATGAAATTTTTAAAAAGCATCCAGGTGAATCCGATGGGTTGGTCACTCACTGGACCACACTTTGAGTCATAGTAGCCTGTGCTTTAGCAATACTTGTGTGTGTGACTGTGTATGTGCCCATACTCTCCCCCAAGGTGGCAGCATGCTCCTCTTGATCTGCATCTGCCCTGTGCACCCAGAATTGGGTCCTGGATGTTGCAGAGAGTTACGTGAAGTTCAGGGAAATGCCTGACAGCCTTGATGCACTTTGGTCCCTATATACGTGGTTGGAGAAGATGTGGTCATCTGACAACAGGCCTGAATAAGACTCCAGCAGGTCCTGTAGTCATCGTCTACTCATGGGGATCCCACACTTAGCAGAAAAGATGCTTAAATCAGCACTCGGCGTTGAGGCTGGAGCCTTGCTCACCTTCAGTTACGTGAGTTCATAGGTTCCCAGGCAGCATTAGCAAGCGCAGCTCACTGTGGCTGAGTATAGACTGTAGTTATAAGGCCAGTAACGTGGAATGGTACATGCAAGACAAATGAGAAGGAACATGAATCTCTGGTTAACTCTCCCTGACCCTCAGTGACTATGTTTTTATCATAATTGTGAAAGTATTGAGATTATCATCACTGTCATCAGCATTATTTTTAGCTGAATACCTCTAATGCTAACAGTTGGAAAATCCAGAGAAGTGGCTTGATCCAGGGGCCCAGGAACTCCGCAGAAGGATAACACACAGAGTCTGGTCCCCACCCCATGAATGCAAGGGCCAGACCCAGCTGTCTGCAGATATAAGCTCTGACTTGGACCCCAAAGAATTCCAGACTCTGGTCACTGTATCTGTCAAGGATACTTTGAGGTAGGGCAAACTAAACTCCTCTGGTGTAGGATATGTCTTCCTGTCCTCCCTCCTTTCCCTCCTCCACACACTTCTATTGAATCCTTACTATTAATATTGCAGGCACTTACTCCGCTCCAGGGAAAGATGGTGAGATAGGATGGAAATCATAGACCCTTCCCTTTGTCTCTAGGAACCAATAGATAGGCAAATAAGAAAACAATGTTGTGTGGTCAGACTGAAAAGGCAGACTTCATGGAGGAGACTGGTCTTACAGGCTAAGAGACCCTACCAGGTGGAAAAATGAGCAGAGGAGAGCCTATGTCGAGGAAAGCCCAGTGGTCAGCAGCTAGGGATAGAGAATGAGGCTGAGCAGCCACCTGTAAATCACCCTGGGTAATGGATGCTAGGCGTTTGCTTTTGTGAGAGGTCTGAGGAGAAAGAGGGATGCAAAGGAGCCTCTGAAAACTGCCCAGTGGCTGATAACTCCGGTATGTTGACGAATAGTGAGCGTGGATTATGGCAGGCTCCGTAGCACTGTTGGCGAATCTATGGTGGGCATGCCACAGAGGGGTCTGCTGTAAAAGGTTTGCCATCACTGCTCTAGAGAGACCATCTGAAAATTCCTGGAAACCTAGTCTTGGGTCCTGCTTCCTCTAAGCACTAGTCTCTCTGAGCTGTAATTTCATGGTAGAACTAAAGCAACAGATTTGATAAGCATTATCCAAACAGCTCGTGTAAGCATCCGGCTCTGCATCTGGCACAAAACATATGGGCTTCCTTGGTCCCACAGTGAGATGCATGGACTTCAAAGTCCTCCCCAAGATCCCAGGCTCATATGCCACCCAGACAAGCTGCGGAAGAGGTGATCACCACCCCATGGGAGCCGTCCAACATAGTGTCACTTGAAGAATGGCTCAGACCTTCCTTCAACCAACACTTCTTCCTGCTCACTTTCACTCCTGAGCTTCCCTTCTCCCGAGGGCCTGACCACACAAAGCCTGTGCAGCTGTCTGACCCTATAGACGGACTCCCAGACAAATATGCCTGCCTGGCATGGCTCAGGGCTCATGAACTGGCTGGAGCTGATATCTCCACCATGGCCGGCTCCCCGGCCCTCTGGTCCTGCTTCCTCCTGGCCCAGGACCCAGGGTAGTCTCCCACAGCCACACCTCTCCCATTAGTACCAGCTGCCCTCTCTCCAGCCACTGCTGGGATGACTGGCCTCCTGTAGGGTCGGGTAATTTTAATTAGATTTGCCCGCCTGGGGCAGCCTGGTTGCTCCAAAGCACATCAGGGAGTCTGCATTTCATGTCAATAAATGTAACAAGACCCTTTCCATTCAGATTAGTGTCTCAGGACTGACTTTGGAAGCCCCCATCACAGGGCCCCTCCCAGAGCCACAGATGAAGGAAGGTAGGGCAGGCGCCTCCTTGTCCCCTCCTTGTCCCCGCTGAGAGGCAGAGGGCCAGTGTGACAAAGGGGGAGGAGCTGGCCTGTGCCAGAGGTTTCATTTGTGTGAGGATGTGTTAATGAAATGTATTGGCTCCCTTCTGATGTGCAAGCTAGGGTAGGGGTGGGGGCAGAGCCTGTCTTTAATTGGATCATACCAGAGCATCATCTGGGCTAATCAGCAAAGGCAACCAGGAGCTCCCGCTCAGATTAATGATTGCAGTCTAATCCGAGCAGATCCCATGATTGGATGCACATCCCGGCTAATTGTGTTTGTGGCCCAGGAGCAAGGATGAGCGGGGGTCTGGGGAGGGGCGGCCTGTGGCGTGAGGGTGGGCCTAAGGTTTGGACCAGCTCGGTTCCTTCCTTCCCCAGCCCCCACTCAACCCTGACATTTTCTCCCAACAAAGTTCAGACTTCACTGGACCACAGCACCTCACCTGCCCCAGATGCCTGAAGGTGGTCAAGTGTCAGGTACTGTCTAAAAACCTGGGGATTAGGTTCCCGGCTGCAGAGACAGGGCCAAGAGGGTGAGGTTAATCCAGCTTTCCGCTCTCCCTCCTCCCCTCCAATCTCCTTCATTCCCCTTTGAAGTGAGTGGGTTCCCATGGAAACCATGATGTCCTGGGGAGCAGAAGAGTGGCACGGAGCTACACTGGCCAGGTGCGAGTGGGGGAGGAGGGCGGCTTTGTGAGACTCTCTGCTAAGGTATCGGCTGTCTCCCCTATGGTGAAAACCTCTCCAGAGCCTGGGAAGTGGCCCATCTGGCAGTGCTGAAGAAGTTACCTTTATTGATAAGGAAATACTGGGCTGGAGGTGTGAGCAGCAAGAAAATAGCCAGGGCAATTGTACTTTGCTTCTCCATTTAGAAAGCTGGTCAGGGCTAGGGATTTAGCTGAGTGGTTCTGACACCTGCTTTGAAAGCACAGGGTACAGAGTTCGATCCCTAGTATGACCAAAAAAAAAAAAAAACTGGAGAACTGAGCTGCAAGATGAGGGGAGGGGGTGGGTGAGATAGTGTCTGTACCCACTATCTCTCCTGCATGGCAGTACTCACACGTTAATTAATTGTATTGTTAACAGTGTTTCTGACCCCCCACCATCATCGCTAGACTATTAACTCCATGCCAGGGCCTGCTTTGTCTCCAGTACCTTACACTTGACTTGTCTTAGAATCAGAGGCTCAGATGAAGTAGGTGCTGAATAGTTTGTTGAATGGATTCATTATGAAGGGTAGGCAGCATCCATAAAAATTCTGTGGTTCTAGATTGATATGATAACAAATGGCTCTAGGGAATTGGGGGCACTGATGTAGGATTTGCCAACTTCTATGGTGTAAGTGCTCTGACCGTGGCCCATTCCAAACCTGCAACATGTGCTCCTGAACCGCCAGCCTCAAAGTACAAACCCGGAAAAGAAGACAAGTCGCAGGAGCAGTCTTTATTTCCAAACAGGTAAATTCATCCTGTATGCTGATTCTTTGGGGTGTCGTTACTGCTACTATGTGCCATGATCTATATTCTTGGTCTCACTCTCCGGTGTAATTCTGGATTCTTGGTTTGGAATGTTTTCTTTTAGTGAGTTAGTACTTGTAACAGTGGCTAGCCTCACATAAGTGTTTCATAAGTGTCTGTAGCTAGGAATTTCCCCCTGAACCCGGGGCAGTGAATTTTCTCCTCCAAAGATTTTACCCAGTATTGTCCCTTTCTCTTTGCTTGAATAAAGCTCCACCTTCACTCTGATGTCCCCACCTTGTGCAAGTTTTTTCCGAGCATTTCCTGGCTTGGGATCTCCTTTCTGGCAGCTCTAGAAACACTGCTTCCAACCCTCCTTCTGCCTCCTGCTTAGTTTCTCAGCTCTCAGAATCTTGGCATTTCCTTACCACACGCCTAGGCCTTCACACAAGTGTCCTCTCCCAATAAACTACATGCTCAGAGCTTCTACCCAGGTGTGCCCTACCCTTGAGAGTTCTGCTCAGATCCAGCTCTAGTCAGTAAAGCAGTGTGCATTTCTACAGCCCTGTTTATACTACGTGTGACCCTGTAACATCTAGGCTGTGTTCCTCTCCAGTCCACACCTGTTTGGAGAAGGGACAGAATAGGGCAGTTCAGATCACTCGTTGGAGATCCTCCTAAAGGACACCAAAGCCTCAGGCTTGATCTGGAAAGTCCTTTAGCTGGAAGTGTGAATGCAGCCAAGTGGC